AAGTTAAAGTTAAATACAGTATGTTTGTTTAGCTGGTCAATACTTTATGCATTCTTTTTGAAGAAAGGGGGGTAATAATAGTTCAGCATTGGAAGACAGGTCAGCGGCTGCACTCATGCCATACGTAGCACCACTGTGCGTTGTCTGCAGCGACAGAAGGCCCAGAGAGACCGGTGGGTCGTATGGTCGGGGTTTGACGTCAGGTCTGTCCTGAAGTTGGTGTGTGACAGACGGTCCGGGCCGGGTGGTGCAGGTGGTGGGCAGGCGTCGGGGTGGGGGTCCAGCTTCAAAACCGTACACTGCGGATACAAAGAACTGGGTGGCAGATTACTGTTTTCTTTTTTACTGACAAGACATTCTTTAGTCTTTCCTGATTTGGACATTTCCTTGAACATTCTCTTTCTTTCCCTTTCTGCTTCATTCCTCCACATGTTCAAACACATTCTATGATTTTCTACATCTTTTAAGTTCTTTCTGTAATATTTTCTTTTTCGTCTATAATGTTATTATATATTATTATGTCTTTCCCTTTAATTTATTTTCAAGTTCCTCCATTTTTTTACACTTAAAGAACCCCCGTGGGGGAAACCAAATTCAAGTGTCCATAATCAAACACTGGTCAGGACTCTGGCTGCAGCATTTTGGATTAACTGGAGGCTTTTTAGGGAATTATTGGGACTTCATGATACTAAAGAGTTACAGTAGTCCAGCCTGGAAGTAACAAATGCATGGACCAGTTTTTCAGCATCACTTTGAGACAGGATGCTCCTGATTTTTGCAATATTTCGCAGGTGAAAGAAGGCAGTTCTAGAGACTTGGTTTATGTGTGATTTAAAGGACATATCCTGATCAAAGATGACTCCAAGGTTCCTCACAGTAGTACTGGAGGCGAGAGCTATGTCATCTAAAGTAACTATATGATTAGATAGCAGATTTCTGAGGTTTTCAGGCCCAAGCACAATGACTTCAGTTTTGTCAGAGTTTAGAAGTAAGAAGTTACAGGTCATTCAGGCCTTTATGTCTTTAAGACATGCTTGAAGTCTGACCATCTGATCTGATTCATTTGGCTTCATAGATGAATATTAACTGAGTATCATCTGCATAGCAATGGAAATTTATGTTGTGCTTCCTGATAATATATCCTAAAGGGAGCATGTATAAAGTGAAGAGAATTAGACCTAACACAGAGCCCTGTTACTAACTTCAGTTTGTGTGGAAGATTCATCATTAGCATGAACAAATTAAAATCTTTCTGATAAATAAGATTTGAACCAACAGCAACCAGCAGTTCCTTTAATCCCAATAACATGTTCAAGTCTCTGCAGTAAGATGCTGTGATCAATGGTGTCAAAAGCAGCACTGAGATCTAAGAGGACAAGTATGGAGACCAATCCTTTATCTGAGGCTAGGAGAATATCATTGGTGACTTTCACCAATGCAGTTTCTGTTCTATGATGGACTCTAAAACCTGACTGAAAATCCTCAAACAAATCATTCTTGTGCAAGTGGTCACATAACTGCTTAGCAACAGCTTTTTCCAGAATTTTAGAAATAAACGGGAGATTGGATATTGGTCTATAATTAGCTAGGACACCTGGGTCAAGAGTAGGCTTTTTGAGTAGAGGTTTAATTACAGGAACCTTAAAAGCCTGTGGAACATAACCTGTTAATAGAGAGAGGTTAATCAGATCTAGTATGGATGTGTTGATTAGAGGAAAGATGTCTTTGAGCAGCCCGGTTGGGATGGGGTCCAGGAGACATGTTGATTTAGATGAAGCAAATGTTGAGGTCAGCTCAGAGAGATCTATGGGAGAGAAGTAGTCCAAGTACTATAAATGAGGTCTCACAGATGTTTCTAAAGCCATTACCTGTGAGTTGCCAAGTAATGATGAAGCTCAGGAATATTGTATGGCAACAAGCTTTTTGTTCTAGGTGGGAGGTTGTGATGAACACACGGAGCAAATGTGACTACTATTGCATCAGTGGGCTTAGCAGCTGCACAGGGCAAAGTGCCATTGGGTGGAGTTGGCTAGAGAGGAAACAGCTTTACAGTGTGTGTCAGCTTGATTGATCTACAGTTTCACTGGCCTTCAGACACTGCTTTCTAACATTGTCTCAGTAATCACATGCTTACTAAGGGAAAATAATGATTTTTTAACATTAAATTCAGGATTGTATTCATAAAGTTACAGTAAGAATGTACTAGTCTACACTGATCTTTATGTTATCATCCACTGTGTTTCCTGCCTCTGAACATGAAGGCTCGTCCCTGACTTCCAATAAATGTCATATTTATGTTATTGTTAATTTGAAGATACACAGAAAAAAGAATCTAACACCTTAACACAAAAATATTAGGTATTTGCTACTTGCCTGGGTGGCACAGTGGTGAGGTGCTGTTGCCCCACAGCATGAAGGTTCCAGGTTTGAGCCCAGGCTGACCCAGGGCCTTTCTATGCAGAGTTTGCATGTTCTCCCTGTGCCTGCAGGGGTTCTCTCCGGGTACTCTGGCTTCCTCCCACAGTCCAAAGACATTCAGCTTAGGTTGACTGGTGACTCTAGATTGCCAGTGTGAGTGGTTGTTTGCCTCCAAGTGTCAGCCCTGTGATAGACTGGCGACCAGTCCAGGGTGTACCCCGCCTCTCACCCAGTGTCAGCCGGGACTAGGCTCCAGCCTCCCGACCCCTGTCCAGGAATAAGCAGTATAGATAATGCATAGATGGATGCTACTTGCCTAAACAGGGTACTTGTTATGATGGGGACCAGTGGACCCAATATACTTTGACACACACCGGGAGTGGAACAAAAAGAGTTTATTGTTTATTGTTAATGCCGAAAGTCAGGTTATTGGGAGAAGAGAGGGGACAGAGGCAGAGCATGTACTGGATGGGACTAAGGCAGGCCAGCAGCGTGGCGCTGGCAGTATCAGGAAAACAATGAGCTGGAGAGTGCAGAGCCGGAGAATGGAGAGCTGGAGTGTCGGGTAGCAGGTTAGGAAACAGGTGAGTGCTGACAATAAACCAGCAGTGAGCAAACAGGAAAAGGGGCTTATATGTAGGAGACTGAACCAGGAGATAACAAGCGGCAGGTGGATGAAATGATGACTGATTGTGCTGGCTGAGGATGTGACAGGAGAGGCAAGGGAAAAAAAACAACAGAAAACCAGGAAGTGAGGTCCAAACTGTGACAGTACTGAGATAACACATTGTTAGAGTTGATCTTTTCACTGGATTGGTTGACAGTAAAAGTGGTCTTATCCTTTATAAAGTAGTATTTATTTTGTGGAGCAAAGTGAATTTTTGAAATCTTTATTGGGAACAATGAGGATTTCACCTGGGTGCTGACAACTGGAGGAGGGTCATGGCAACCAATCTACAAGTGTTTGTTAGATCAGTCACTAAACCTGTCAATTTTGAATGTTCTCCTTGGTATTCTGTGAGATCATGGTGTGTGGGAGCTCAGTCAATGTACAGTCATGAACCTGAATTGTTTTCACATTCTCAACACAGAGTCAGGCATGTTCCCTTCGGGTAATAAAGTCAAACAAGCACAGGTAGACTTTATTACTATTTGTGTTTGTGATACTGATGGGCAGGTCATGTGATATTTGTGGATGACTATTGTTCTTGTGGCTGTTTGACTGTATTCTATAAGCAGTTTGCAATTTGATGAAGCAATATCAAACAGCTAGTGGTTGGTACCTGATATGAAGAATTTTAATCCATGTTTTTATTATCAGTTGGCTAGCATCTTGGACTAAAGAGAACAAATATATGACACGCGTAGACATACCTGAGTATGTCTACTGTTTCCTTTTGCTATCCTATTGTACTCTGTATAGTGAAAAGAGAAACAGATGCAAAAGCCAGTGGTTCAGTACTGTGAATAGAGGGTTGAATAAATGTCCTGCATAAATATTTTATTTTTGGAGAAATAGTGACTGACCTCTCAGCATGCATTGGGTTTGGGTTAGCTGCTTCTCTTCTTCTGTCTTCTTGTTTGAAACACATTGCATTTCACATTGCATTAGCCTGTCAGTTTCAGAACTGTATAAGACCTCACTCATTTTTCTAAAAAACTGTATCTATGAGCAACATTATTTGTTATTTGTGATCCTTTAATTCAGGAACTTTGAAATTGTCAAACATTATGTGCATGTACATTACATAGCCTGTACACAAATTTAGTGAGTATGGTACAAATTTCATTGTACTTGAAGTTTTACTGACATTCTGCATGTCTTTGGTGATCCATGTCATGGCAGAAAGTTACAAAATGTCATTTATTACTGTGTTTAGAACTGATTTCTGTGCTATTTTGGATGCCACCATCGGTATGTGTGAGTTTGTGCCACAGATGGCTGCCTCGGTTCTGTATCAGGGAAAAATTATTTGTGTGTGTGTAACATACTTGGTGATTAAAATAAATTAAATGTAATCGGCAGATGATACTGACGCCTGGAAGCCTGCTTCAGCCCAGTGAAGCATACTGTTTTGATGCATTGTTTGGGAGCTTGTATCAAGTAAAAAACCAAATAAAAACACATGACAAAAAGTTGAGTACAAGTAGGGATGTCCCTGAAGAGTTGAACAGCATCCACACAATAATACAATCTAAAGAACAGGAGAGCATAGTGTGGATGCTTTACAGCATCCACACAATGACTATGAGTGTCAAAGATTTAATATTAAATTCTACTAGCATGCAGATTTCTCTAAAACAGTTAAAAAGGGAAGGGTTGTAGCCTAGAGCTTTATCCCCAATCTTTAAGGGCTGCTATTATTTTTACAGGACTCCCAATGTTACTGTAAGTGCTGTGTGGTTTCGAATCTTTTTTCAGCACAAATAGAATGAAAGCCCGACAGCTTCGTAAGACTTCATCTACACATCACTAACCACTTCAACAGAGCGAACGAGTTTGAATAATTCTAGATTTATTTTGAAATTCTCTGAGGGTGTGCGTACCGCCAGTCGGCTTTCACATCTCTGACACGCCCCTCCCGTCTTGTGACCGGGAGACTTCAGAGCCAATCAGAACGCACCATTTGTAAGCATGGCGTCTGACTTTCGATGGAGTTGTGTAGTGCTTCTGCTCTGCACATATTTGCTTTGTATCTTAGCGACTGACACTAAAGATAAGCCAAAGAAAAAGAAGGATATCCGTGACTACAATGATGTAGATATGGCACGGCTCCTGGAACAATGGGAGGTACGTTATTGTGTTGGTTTTCATTTAGTCAGCCTGCAGACATTAGCTATTAGCCTAGCCGCTAGCTATGGTATTGTCATTAACCCGGTATCCATTATCAATGACATGGAACTCCTCGTTCCTCGCTCGTCAGCAACATCCGGCTACTTTAATATTCAGTCAAGCTCTTGGGTTGAACGTGGCGGAAGAACAAACTAGTACTTAACGTTAAGTAAACCTTGCAACACCACAATGGATAGGAATATTCAGCTACAAGTAGGAGTTGTACATTGCAAATAATAGCCTACATAAGGAAAATAGCAATTATTTTAAGCACAGTGAACAGTCAAAACCAAGAGTCGGGTCACAATAGTATGTTTAGCTTTTAATTACTGGTTTAATAATGTTTATAACACGGCCATGCAAAAGGTATTGAAAAAGTTCATTGCCCAAAAAGGGGAGCTAATTTAGATTTAAGTAGCTGCTTTTGAAACGAGAAGCATTTTGGATATAAAAATTGAAGACTGTATAACCGCATGGATTGAATGAAGAATTGGATTTGAGGTGTGTTCTCAAAAGTTAAGACCATCTATAACTTGTTTCACCTATTCTTGAGTTTTTTTTTTATTTTACGTTTGTTTTTTGCCTTGACCACAGGATGGCATTATGATGACAGAAGGAAAGGGGAATAACAATGGTGGTGATACTAATGACAAGGGCTGCTACTAACGATTATTTTAATAACCAGTTAATTTGATGGTTATTTCTATGTTTAGTCTATTAATTGGGTGTATATAAGCATGCAAAAATCTATTTTCCACATTAAATGAATGCATTTTTATTTTTAAACTGTGTTTGCAGGATTCATCTGCAGTGCATTATTAAACAAAAATACATTTGTTCAAGAATAGAGTTTTTATAAAGTGTACAAGAGGTCCTTGCAATGTTAACAAAAACACAAATGTTTATTATTTAAAATAATTTCTATGCTCATAAAATATACCATGCTAATGTAAATAAAGAGCCAGTACAAAAATGACAGCTACAGGTGACAGAAAGATATAGGATGCACTGCCTGTCACTCAAAGTGTGAACTCTGGATAATTTATTACCCTTAGGCACCGCCCACATTTGGCACCTAACCACCCACGCTATTTTCCTGACAATATTATTTTATGGTTATTATAGGCCCACACATGTCTGCAATAATAAAACTAGGGTTTCTCATGGGAACAAGTTAACCATCATGTTTTCATATCATCAGAGGATTATATTAGACTCTCCTGACAGCACCGTAACAGACTAGGCAGGACACATCAAAGGCTTTTTATGAGGATTGGCCAAACAGCTATAGAAACAGGCTGCAATCAGTAAAGATTATCTTTCTCTCTCTGTCTCTTAATTCACAGGGATTTAGTTAGATGTAAGGGCCAGCAAGGGGAAAATGTAATGACCATGATCGACACATGTCAGTGCATCACAGCTGGCTGCATATGGGGCTGTGCAGTAGCAGATCGTTCAGTGTGCCCATGCTGACCACCGTCCACCACAGCATTAAAACCTCCTGCCTGTTGTGGCTGATCAGTGTAATAATGTGTTTTGCTTTTAGGTATATGAATGGAAGCTAAACGCAAATGCATCGGGAGTTAGTGGGAGTTAAATGCATTTAACTCCCACTATTAGCAGCCTATTTTACATAACCCACCGTTATATTCTATAGCAAGGGTTCTCAAACGTAATATTCAAAGGTCCAATTCTGATTTTTATTCAAGTTCAAAGCAATTGGTGATAAGCAAATTACTTTTATTAACCTTGCTTATAACTTCCAAGCGATGTACACTCACCAGCCACTTTATTAGGTACACTTGTGTGCACTTCAATGCAACACTTTCACCTTAACATCTGTGTTTATGAAACTCAAAATGTTCCAGTTTTTGATGAAATTGTTATAAATGTAAAAATTATATGTTTATTTTTGAGGTCATAGTTAAAGGTGGTCTTGTACTGGACTAGATTGTATTCAAATGTGTTCCTCAGACCCTCTCATGTATGTAGCTTGGGAAGACACAAATGTTATTAGGTACAGTTGTACCTAATAAAGTGGCCTGTGAATGTAACCATTGTTTCTGAATTTTCCCAAACTGTACAATAATATGACCCTCATGTCAAGATCAGATAAGGACAGACAAGCTGTTTAGCTAGTGGAATATCAGCACACAGGGTGGCACAGCAGAGTGGTGGTTAGCATTGTCACCTTGCAGCAAGAAGGCTCTGGGTTTGAGCATGGGCTGGCCCGGGGCCTTTCTGCGTGGAGTTTGCATTTTCTCCCTGTGTCTGCGTGGGTTCTCTCTGGTTACTCCGGCTTCCTCCCACAGTCCAAAGACATGCAGCTTAGGTTGACTGGCTACTTTAAATTGGAGGAGGAGCGTGAGTGTGGTTGTCTGTTTCTAAGTGTCAGCCCTGTGATAGACTCGCAACCTGTCCAGGGTGGACCCCGCCTCTCGCCCAATGTCAGCTGGCTTGGCTCCAGACCCCCCATGACCCTGTTCAGGAATAAGCGGTATAGATAATGGATGGACAAATATCAGCACACAAGTACCGCTACCAAGACTGTTTATAAAAAAATAAAGTCTGATCCTCTTAAACATAACATTAGTAATCTACTGCTAGTAACATTAACATTGTAGCTGCACCATATTTTACATCTCCCCTGAGAATTTGCCAAGCGGCACAGAACACGTAGCACCAGACCCTCGTTTTTCCTCTGTGAACATACTTTTAGCCATTAGCTAAATCTCCAATTTTGAATGGGCGCCTGTTAGCCGACCCTTAAGGTCTCATTTGTTGACGTTAAACGTCATATGATTGCTGGCTGTCAGTGTTGCCATGACAACAGTGTCAAACAGGCAAATGACTGCTTTCAGCCTTAGGGCCCTAACTTGGAACAAATACATTGCTCACAGTGCAGATATCACATTTGTGTTTCCTAATTTCCTACCTGTGCAATTACTATTTTCATGACATACACATCATGTTACCTTTTTACCAACCAACAGTCTTGACTTTGCACTGACAGGTGTGTTGGGATGAAAATGGAGTATTTCCACATAAATTTTGGGAAGGGTTGGTGATATGAGGGCATACAAAGTGACTGCACCACTGACCAGCAAAAGCCAGGTCATCATTGCTACTTGAGTACTTTAACCGTGTTGTGATTCGTGCCTATCAAGGCGTGTGCGCAATGCTCGTGCACTGTGCTTGTTATACCCTGGGGCGTGCTGCACAGGACGCGCAAAACTTAAAAATAAAAAGATGACTGTTCATTTGGTGTTGTGCAAATATCTCTCTCTCTCTCTCTCTCTCTCTCTCTGTGTGTGTGTGTGTGTGTGTGCGTGCTTTGCAGATTTTCAGTCATCCAGGTCATAGTAAGCTGAAAGAACTTTATAAGCTTCTCTTTCTCTATGAAGCCTCTTCCGGCTCTTTTAAACCAGGAACTCACAATAAGACGAAGTAGACTGCTTTAGATTTTATAAAAAATAACCGTGCTGGTTTATTCAGAGGATCACAGGTAAAATTAACATTACACGTCCAGATCTCTCCCACCATCCACCTGCGCGCAGGCAGCTTGGAAAGATGAACAGAGACCGGACCCAGAAACCTATATAATTTAATCATTTCTGGGCTAGCCCATACTACGCAGGGCGTCATACCATGACGTCACCTGTATAAGCTATTATTTCTCTGTAGCTTCTTCCGGTTCTTTCAAACCAGGAACTCTCAATGAGACGAAGGAGACTGCTTTAGATTTTATAAAAAATAACCGTGCTGGTTTATTCAGAGGATCACAGGTAAAATTCACATTACACGTCCAGATCTCTCTCACCCCTCTGCCTGCGCGCAGGCAGCAGAAAAAGCTCAAGATCTCTGGACCAAACAGCCTATATAATATTAATCATTTGGGCTCCTGCTTGCAGTCTGCACTGCAAGCACATTACTGAACAGTTAACAGCCTGAGCTAGTCAATCTGTCTCTACTAACATTTCTAGACAACAAATCTCTGAATATCTATCTAACTAGGAAATAACCTAACAACTTGGACTAGATTTCTAGGTTGAACCTGTTTCACCTCTCATCCAAGAGGCTTCATCAGTTCTGACTGATGTTGAGCCAGAGATATTTATCCCCCTCGGTGGTGGTTCAGTCCTTTGAGGGCCAACAATGTCCCCTAACGACTGAGTCGTTATAGCCCAGTATCGGTGAGAGT